CTCTTTGAAGAAATGTCTGTGCAGATGCTTTGCACATTTTTAAATTGGGTTATCTTTTCATTAACAAGTTGCAAGAGTTCCTTGTGTGTTCTCGACACAGGTCCTTTCTCAGCTGCACGGTTCGAAGGCCTCTCCCTGCTCTGTGGATTGCCTTCTTCAGTGATGGCCTTTCAAACAGAAAAGTTTTTCTTTAGATGAAATCTGGTTCATGTAGTTTAACTCTTGGTGCCTTATCTAAGAAGCCACGGCCTGTGTCCAGGGTAACAAAAGATGTATTCCTGTGTTTTTCTCTAAGACTTCTATAGTTTCATAGTTTTATGTCTTGGGGCACCTGGGTGGCTCAGTCGGTTCAGTGTCCGACTCTGGCTCAGGTCATGATCTCATGGTTCGTGGGTTCGAGCCCTGCGTTGGGCTCTGTGCTGTCAGTTCAGAGCCTGGAGCCTGCTTCAGATTCTGTGTCTCCCTCGCTGTCTGCCCCTCCTCATGTGATTTTTGGACTCTGTCAGTTTCTGCACAGAAGCCAGCTGAGATTCCTCCCATATGAGGCCACTTCTGAGGCTGCCTGGGGAGTTGGGCTCTGACCTGAACCTGCTCCCAGGCGGGATGCAGAGATGTGCCCCAGCGGGTCCTGGGCCCACCGGGCTAACCTTGCTTCTCTTTCTCCGCAGGCCTCCTCGCTGGAGAGGCAGAGCCCTCGCGTGGCCTCCTGCCTCACTCACAGCCTGTGCCCCGGGGAGCCCAGCTTGCAGACAACAGCAGGTACATTCCTTGCCCCTTCCTTCCTCCTGCCCAGGGCCACCAGGGCCTTTGTGGTTGTGACAGACAGAGTCCCACCCAGCCTGGCAGAGCCAGACACAGTGTGCTGGCTCCCAGGGTCCAGGGACAGGTATGTAGGCAGAGTGGCCAGGGCTCTCCCCATTTTCTGGTGCGGGCAGGGCTGCCCAGGAGAGGGCCAGAGTGCCTTACTCCTGGCATGTCCCGCTGGCCTGGCAGGCACCTTAGCCAAGGCCTCGGGCTGGAGCCGCTGGCCGCAGGAAAACTGGGGGCTTTGCTGTGGGTGAGCTCCTGGGTGCTGTGCACCCCTCCCAGGCTGGCTGTTGGCCCCCTTCCCGTCCAGCCTCAGTCTTCGTCGCTCCCTTGCCTGGGGGGATTGAGCTCTAGCCATTTCCTTTTGTGTTTGTTTTCTTTAAATTTGACTTACTGAAGACCAGAATGGGGAGAGAGAGAGCAATGATCACATCCTGCTTCTTCTGGGAAAACCAGAAATCCGGTGACGTGCACCACACGTTGGCCTGTGCGGGTGGCACTGGTGTTGCTCTGCCGAGGCAGCAGAAAGGACTGGCCTTGGACGGGCCTGCTGCGTGTGTCCTGCGGGCGTCCTGCCCGCACCGTGCTGGCCCCGCAGGCCCTCGTGGGTGCGCAGTCACCTGTGCGTTTCCGGAGTTGAGGGCCCCGCCAGGCCTTCCGCTCTTCCTGCCCTCGCTCGCCTGGTGCCCATTTCTTCCCAGTGTGTGGGCTCTTGCCCACACCCTCACCGGTGTCTGTGGTTGGGGGACCAAGCAAGCGCCCAGGAGAACACATCCCCCCCAAATGTCCAGAATCCGTGTGTCCAGTTAGCCAGGTGTCTTCTTCCCTCAGGGGTCGTTCTGTTGGGAGTTCCCACGTGGTAGACTGACCATGCTGGCCACTGGTGTGCACACGCGTCTGAACGTGCACGCACGTGCACGCACACACACACACACACACACACAGCCTTCTGCACGTGTATGCATGTACCCACACGTGCACATACCTGCAGGCTGTGGGCTTTGTCCCAGGTGACAGCGGGCCACTGTTGCGTCCTACCCCAGCCGTCCTCAGCCTTGCACGATGGCTGGTGTGCGTGGGGTGAGGGGTGGGGAGCTCACGCAGGCGGGTGTCTCCTCCACAGTGGTGTCCATGGGCTCTGCAGACCATCAGTTCAACCTTGTTGAGATCCTGTCACAGAACTACGGCATTCGGCAGGAGTGCGACCAGGCTGCAGGAGACCCAGGGAAGCCGGAGGGAGAGTTGGAGAAGGACTTCATCTCCCAGGTGCTTGGCTGAGCTCGTCCCCTGTGCCCCTGTGTAGGGGGAGCCCCCGGGCAAGGTCACGGTTTCTTCATTTGCTGAATTAGTCTTGAAGCTCAGATTTCACAGGGACAAGTGCTGTGTGCACATCTGTTTGCAAAGCGCCAGGCACTGTGCTAGGAGCTGAGATGGTGGGGGCCGGGCCAGACCCGGTTGTGCCTCTGGGGCTTTAGGGTTCTAGGCACAAAACCCACTGTCGTCAGACTTTTTGGCCTCAGAACCCCCTCTATGGCCTTCAAACGTTGGAGGATCTCAAGGGGTTTTGTGCGGGTTATGCAGTAAATCCATTGTTAATAGAAATAGCGTATTTTTGTGAAAATGAAAAAACAGCTTTTCCCCAACTAAAGCAAGTTGGGGAGAAGAGTGGAACCGCTTTGTGTTTCTGTAAATGCAGAAGCGGATCCGAGAGCCCAGCTACTGTCTTGAAGGCAGATGTTGATGAGCAGTGATCTGTCCTCTTGGTTGGAGTGTAAACCTAGCTTCATACACGTCTGTTCTTGGAAGAGGAGAGCGCCTTCCCAGATCGTGGTGGACATTCCTGGACGCTGCCCCCAGAGTCAGTCAGTGGTGGTTCTGTAAAGGGGATTGCAGAGGGGCTTCTGCCACATGCCCTGTGACATTCCGTGCTTGGTTGTGTCAGGACCTGTTGGTGGTGACCTTGCGGTGGCTCTTTATCCTCCTCATCGTGAGGTGTTTGCAGCCTGTGCACCACAGGATC